GTTTTCTTCTGCTTCATTCTGCTCCTGCTTGTCGGGGAAGCGACTGTCGAGGTCGACTGAGTTGACGCGCGACAACGATTTCTGCTCCTCAGTTCGAGCTGGCTTGATGGCATTCTTGGGTGGGATGTTGATTGAGTTGAGGTCGTTCGTGGCTGCCTCGAAACATCTTCTGGCCGCTTTGATGTCTCTGTGGAGGGTGACGACTCGACCCTTCATCGTATAGTACTTCATCTTTAGGTGGACGGTGGATGGTACTGCAGTCAGCTCGGCCAAGGTTGGCCTCCTCATAATGCATTGGTATAGAGAGGGGAACTCTATCACCAAGAAGTGGACCTTGGCCTGCTTGACAGTCTCCTCGGACCCGAAAGTGATGAGTAGCTCCACGTAGCCCCATGGCCTTGTGGTGGTGTCGTTGAAGCACTGCAAGTCGAAGCCCATACGGAGTCAGATGGCTCTCATCGAGCTGGAAAATGGTGAAAAGGTGAGCATACATTATGTCAACCTTGCTCCCTCAGTCGACGAGGATGCGACGGACATTGAAGTTCGCCATATGGGCTCTGATCAGCATATGGATGATGGAATTAGGGGTGCCACCCGGTAGCTCCTCGAAGTAGAAGGTGATCGGGTTTGAGTTACCTTTGAACCTATCGAAGGTGGAGTTCTGCTTCGAGCTCTTGTCGATCAACTTATCAAACTTCCTCTTAACCGACCCACTAAGAGCTTGCTAAAACCCCCACTAGATATGACCATCACGACTGGGAAGTTCTCCCAAGGGCTACGAGCGAACAAAGGTGCGTCGGCCTTGTAGAGAAGGTAGAAGTCCTCCGGGTGGGAGACGCACAGAGTGATATGTAGCCCGACCTCGTCGGAGGGTGGCGTCACCTCCTCGACCTTCTTCTCCTCACGGGTTTCCTGTCGAGGAGTCTCATTCCTTCGAGTGTATTTTTTTAGGTGCCCTTCCTTAATTACGATCTCAATGGCGTCCTAGAGATGAATGCAATCTTCCGTGACATACCCGTGGCTCCTGTGGAACCGGCAGTACTTAGACTTGTCGACGTTGGGCTTGGGGGGCGTCGGCTTCAAAAAGCAGACCCCACCTCTATGGAATTTTGAGTTGATGCACTCGGCAAAGATGCGCTCGTAGGGAGTGGTGAGTAGTGTGTACTCGATGAAACGGCCTGCTAGGCCCCGATCTTCTCGGGAGTCACGGGGCCTGTCTTCTCTTCTTTTGTCCCTACCACATCGGGGAGGAATAGAATCTTCGCGCCTGGAGGCTCTGGCACTCTTCTGGTTCCTCAAGTCACGGGCGCCGTTGGCGGCCTCCTTCTCCTTATATTGAATGTAAGATTGGGCCTTGTGGAGGTGTTCGTCTAGTGTGTCGGGCCTTTTGATACCAACCGCTTTGGCGAAGTCGCTGCGGGGTCGCAGCCTTCGCTCAATCAGGTATCTCTTCAAGCCGACCATCGTGGACATCTGGATAGCCTCTCGATTGAAACTCTCTATATAGTCCCAGAGAGGTTCGTCCTTCCCCTGAATGATGGCTTCTAGGGATTTCTCCGTCTTTGGATGTCCCCGAGAGGCAGTGAAATGCCTAGAGAACTATCTCTTCAGCTCTTTCCAGGAGGTGATGGATTCGGGTTCGAGGCTCGTGTACCACGCCATTGTTTCCTTCCTCAGGGTCATCGGGAAGAGCCTGTATTTTATGGCTCCCCAGACATTGCGGTAGTTGAGAATTATGTCGATGCTCTAGATATGGTCGTCTGTGTCGGTTTGTGCCCTCGTAGGTCGCCAGAGTCAGTGGTTTCTCCATCCCGACGAGGACAAGAGTCTCTATGATGACCCTAGATAGCGGAATGTAAGGGTCGTCCTCGTCGTTTCTGATGGGTGATTGCAACGGGGAAGGATCGTACTGAGGGCTCCTTCTGCGGTAGGGAGGGCTCATCGGCCGACACTTTGTTTTCCCCATCTGCCCATCGGCTTTGCTCCTCTTGGGGACCGGGGAGCATCACTCCTTACGGAGAGGACTACGGTCGCACTTCTGGGTTGCGACGGGCCGAGGTCTTTCTAGTCGTAGGCAAAGTTCATGTTGTCACGGTGACAGGCTTCGAGATTCATCCCGTTGATGTCTCTATGGGGGAGAGAGGAAACGTGTTTCTCGCTGTCTCGAGGATGGGCTGCGAGAAACAGAATGCCTATGTCTCCGCGGGGGGAGAGCATGATTTCCGCTCTTTCTCTAGCATCCTGATCCATTCGTTCTGTTGGAACATCATCAGGTTCGTCTGGTTGATCATCGTGAACAAGGACACCATGGTCGGGTCGATGTTGGGTGGCACGAGAATTGGTTGAAAAAAAGCAGGATTGTTGAACCGTTGAGCGGCGTTGTCAGCCACGTCATTGGAAGAAGGAGAGGTGGTGTGCCCGTCCCTAGGGTCACCCTCCTCGACTAGGACAACCATGTCGGGATCATGGTCGTCGCCGTTGGTGAAGATGGTGAAAGAAGTTTCGTAGAGGTTATCGTCAACGCATGGGCTAGCCATGACTGATGGATGTTGAGATATGCTTTGGTTCTTTAATATCTTAGGAAGAAAGAACGGGGAAGCAAGAGATTCCCATAGACGACGCCACTGATCTTACCGGATCAAAAAGAGATCACCAGCCAGCAACACGTCGTGAGCTCATAGTTTGCCGGTGGTGGAGAAGAGAATGGGGTGTACCTACAAGACACTCTGATGTCAAAGTAAGGAGTGGAGCAAAGTGAGCAAGTGCAGAAACTGTAGAGAATAGAATACCTGACCCTCTAGTGAAAGAGGGTATTCATAATGTGCCTCCAGCGCTAGGCCAACAGTTATTTTTCATTGGGTTGGATCACTAGGCCCAATACGAATAACTGCCAGGATCTACGTGGCATAGGGGAGACCAGCATATGGTCTTCATCCTAGTCCAACTAGCCTGTGATCTCCGGAAGGTGGGTGATCTGTTATTTCGGACACGGGTAGTTGTCTGATGACGTATCCTCGCGTGGGGAGCACATGGAGACTGTGGGGGAGACACATGAGAGCTCTCTGTGTGAGATGATGAATTGAGCCTTCATTGGACCCTCCTCGACGAGAAGTTGGGTTGGATCATGCCCGATGGTGGGTCAGCTATATCCTAGTCCAGAACAATTATTATTATTAAAATGAAAGTTTTAAGACTACCTACCTAACTTATTAAATATATAAAGATAAAATACTTTTTTTTCTTTAACTTTACTTCAGGGTCCATTTTTCCAAATATAAATGGCTATAAAAAAATATTAAATTTTAATCATTATTAAATTATCAATAATTTTTTTATCATTTTAAAAATATAATTATTGTTGTGTATATTATTCTTATATATAAATAAAATAATATTTAGTTATTTATAATCGGTTCAACCAAGGTTCAAATTGGATCTAACCTTAAACCCCATAACTCATAGATATACCAATTTAATATCTGGTCCGATTTTAATTACCTTGTCAACAACAATCACATCTGATACATTCCTGTTTCTATATGCTACTTCTCATCATGAATTAGGGTCAACAAATGTTGCATTTTCATGTATGTGTCTTTGATAATAGATCGATATATTTATCTTTCTTTATACACGTGCGTTGTAGTCGTTAGATTATCAACATCCTTATATCAATGTAGAGCCGTCTCAAATTTTTAGATACCATGTGTAGATTAGCCATAGTTTAACCATGACAAAACAAATAGAGACTCTATTTAAACACAATTTAACCCGACAAATATTTTATGAGACTCTATTTAGCCATAGTTTAACTCTAACAAATTTGAGGCCCTATGCGATAACCCGCCTTACATTCCCTAAAAGACGACCTCGTTTTAGTGTAGCCATTATGAACTTCGACGTCATGTGATATTTTTGTCCTGTCATTGGCAAACTGCCTTTTATAGAGTTTTAGACAGCTTAATGTGTCATGACCATCTAAATCTTAACTAGATCATGGTTTTGAATATCATATCTAATCATTATGTTCCAACTTAACTTAAATGAGTATTTAAATCTTCTACTACAAGTGAACTGAGATGATTTATGTTACTTATAGTTTACTCCCATCTCACAACTCATAATCAATTTGTCTTTCTTGTTTTTTCTCATTTGTTGTATCAAAACAAACTGTAACAAGAACAATACCATGTTGTCTCTCGATAACTTGGGTCCATAATAACACTTTGGTCCGGTGAAAAAATATCTGTCAATTAAAATTTAGGCTTAATATCCTTTTTGGTCCCGTATGTTTGCCTCGAGGTTCATTTTGGTCTCTTAATTTTAAAAAAAATCATATTGATCTTTTAACTCTTCAAAACATATTATGTTAGTCCTTTTAATCTAATTAGTGACGAAAAAATTAAAAAATCAATCGCTAAATTCGTCGCTAATTAGACAAAAAAAACTAAAATTATACGGTTTGGAAAATTAATGGATCAAAATGAACTTCGAAGTAAAGATACAAAACTAAAAAAAATATTAAATCTTAAATTTATAATGAATTACCCATATCATAACTCAATTAAAAAAAACCTATGTAAAATCTATACAAAAATCATTAATCTCAAACACATATAAAGAGGACACGCTTATAGAACTATCAAATTTTTATGTGTAAAAAAATCTGGTATATCAAAAGATATTTGAAGTTTTCAATAAACAAAAACCATACATTGAATATTTCAAAAATCTAGCAAAAACTAGCTACATTTAAAATAAATTAAAACCAATAAAAGTACATTTATTTTCTATCAGATTTTTTAATATAATTATCAGATATTTTACGTTTTACTCATTTTTTAGAGCAAATATTTTATAAAAAGTGTACATTTTAAAAAAGATAAATAATGAGAAGGTATTTTTGATTTCTTTTTTCTCTTTCATCTCCATCTTCCAGCGCTTCTGCAACTTCTTACCGCCGAACAGAAACATAAACCAGAGCAACCGTAGCCATAACCATGAACTGGAAGCTTCTTCGCAGCATTGCAACGGACATCGGAACCAGAAACAGATCATACTACACCAGCAGGACCAAGAAACCGAGTCTCTACTCCAAAATCAGCCCCCTCGGAAACCCAACCACAAGCGTCGTTCCTCAGCTCGACGATTGGGTCTTCAATGGAAACAAAGTCAGTGTCGGTGAGCTTCAGCGCATCGTTCGTGATCTTCGCAAGCGTAGTAGGTTCACTCAAGCTCTCCAGGTTTTCAAATTCTCTATCAGTCGCATAATTTCAAAATGAAACCCTAAAAATGCTTTTTTTTAATAGTGGTTTTGACTATGTTGCGTAATGGGGACAGGTATCTGAGTGGATGAATAAGAATGGTGTGTGCATATTTTCTCCAGTTGAACATGCTGTGCATTTGGATCTTATTGGTAAGGTTCATGGATTTGTTTCTGCAGAAACCTATTTTAATAGCTTGAAGAAACAAGACAGAAATGAGAAGACATATGGTGCTCTTTTGAATTGCTATGTACGCCAGCGCCATGTTGATAAGTCACTATTGCATTTGAAGAAAATGAAGGAGTTGGGGTTCGCATCGTCGCCTCTAACTTACAATAACATTATGTGTCTATACACAAATATCGGACAGCATGAGAATGTTGCTGGTGTGCTGTCTGAGATGAAGGAAAACCATGTCTTACCAGACAATTTTAGTTATAGGATTTGTATAAATTCTTATGGTGTGAGGTCTGATATTGAAGGAGTGAAGATGATATTGAAAGAGATGGAGAATCAACCACACATTGTGATGGACTGGAACACTTATTCTGTTGTGGCTAATTTCTATATAAAAGCAGGGCTTTCGGGCGAGGCAATTGCTGCTCTAAGCAAATGCGAGGCGAGGCTAGAGGACAAAGATGGAGAGGGTTACAACCATCTTATCTCACTTTATGCTCGTCTAGGTAAAAAGAATGAGGTTTTAAGACTATGGGAGATGGAGAAAAATGCTTGCAAGAGGTGCATAAACAGGGACTATATAACCATGTTAGAATCTCTGGTAAAGCTTGAGGAGTTTGATGAAGCTGAGAAAATACTCAAAGAATGGGAATCCTCTGGTAACTGTTATGATTTGGGAGTTCCTAATGTCGTAATTGTTGGGTACTCTGAAAAAGATTTTCTTGAGAGAGCAGAAGCCATACTTGAAGATTTACGGAACAAGGGGAAGGCCACAAATCCAAACACTTGGACTTTAGTCACAAGTCGATACTTGCATAAGGGTGAGATAGAGAAAGCATTTGGGTGCTTGAAAATTGCGGTGTCTTTGTATTTGGAAAATAAAAAATGGAAACCTAACCCTAGGGTGATTGCGGCTCTACATAGTTGGATTGGTGATAATGCTTGTGTTGAAGATGCAGAAGCTTTGGTGAGCTTATTGGAAAATGTCCAAAAGAATATACACATGTATCATGCCCTAATTAAGGCATACGTACGAGCTGATAAAGAAGTGGATGGGGTCTTGGACCGCATGAAAAAAGATAACATTAAGGAAACCAAAAAAACTATAGAAATTATCAACACGAGGATGGCAGAAAATTTGTAAACATAGTTTCCCATGATATTCTTGGGCAACTTCGATCATGTTTTGCAGACTAATTTTAGTCAAATTTATGGCTTTCCGTGATATTAGCTGCACCTTCCATACCTTATAACTCATTTCTCAACCAAACCCAAGTTCTATATTGCAACTCCATTTCTCAACCAAACCCAGGTTCTATATTGCAACTCCATTTCTCTCATTGTGGAACCACATTTGTTAATGGTACAGCAAATTTTACAAATCCAGAAAAGTAAAGCAGTGGAATAAGTATCAAAGGAAAACCAACTCCCAGCACTACTGCACATGCCAACCTAAAGAATAGTGATTATTTGTGCAGGGGGAGAAGAATCAGGTCCTGGACAAGCACTCTTCAATGTTTGGTTCATCTGACCTATGAAGAAGCTAAGGTTGCTTACTTAAATTTGATTGTAGGATCCCATTGATAACAAATGTCTGCCTCATGATAGAAAGTTTTGTTCCCTCAAAGTTGTGTGATTTTGCCTGACCACTAATTTTCAGAACATTCAGTAAAGCATCTATAAATGATAGTTGATGTAATTCTTAAATTATATACTAGTAGAATACCCGTGCTCCTGCACGGGTAAATTTATTTTGATATTGTAGGTTCAAATAATTTAAAAAGATGTAAGATAAATGTTAAATGTAATTGTAAAAGTACAATATGGAATGAGGAAATAGAATTAGTATAACAAATGAATTGCAACATGTCTACACAAAATATAGTGGTAAGGCAGCAAAACTGCTATGTTATACATGAAAGACTTTTCAATCTAACAATGTGTGATTTAAACTTGAAACCAAAACTTCCATTCATTGTACACATGTAAAGGTTTATAGTTTTGAAACAAAAAATGATATCCAACCAACAGTGCCGAGGGATCAATAAAGTAGCGTTGAGACTTTAGTAAAAATATGTAGTTTTTACCAACCTGCACTTCAATTATAGTTCACAAGAATTCAGAGTGAGTTGAACCAAGGTCATAACATTTTAACTTGCTAGCACTGCAGTTTAGCTCATTTCCAAATTCATGAGAAACTTCACTAATAAATAATTAATTGTAACATCAAGCTCATTTAACAAATTCACAGCTCTAACTAACAATTCAACTACTTCCAACTAACAACTCTTCCAAGCTTCCAAATCTTGCTCATGGTTAGCAATGTGAGGGCTTTTAATTCTTGAACTCATTCACATTTTGAACTGACTATAACCTAACATTAGTAACTAATTATTTCAACTACTCTCATCACATTTCAAAGTAGCTTATCATAACATAGCAATTTTTATCCTAACATCACATAATTGTCAAAACTGCACCCTGACCATTATGGCCTAATAGGATTTAATCCTAACATGACATGTATAATTCAAACATTGATTGATACACAACTTAAAGAACTTACATCATTGATTGATAAAACTCATATTTAGAAGCATTCAAACTATGCAAATTCTACACAGAACTATTAGGTAGAAGCATTTAAAATATGAAAACAGTGACAGAAGCATTCTAACTCAAAATTAGAAGCATTTAGGTATGAAGATGAGATTGAAAATTGAAACCATACAATATGCATACATGCTATGTCAAACACCAATGAAAAAATTATGAAATGTTGCTTCAAAAAACAACAGACAACAACATGTAGGAAAAATCACATTAATTATGGAAGCCTCATTGACATCAGAACAATCCTAGTTTGACATCAGAACTTGTTGGTAGATATTTCAAGAAAACAATAAGGTTGCCAATGCTAATTAAAAAACACACCTTGTCCTATTCACATATGTGACGGATACTCTTGACTTCATTAGAGTTTGTCCAGCTTTTATTGCCAGGTTGCACAAAGGATTCTGAAGAACCCCGCCACTGCAATAGCAGAGAGATTCTGGCAACGCATTTCGAGTGACAAGATCCCCGCCACTGCAATAGCAGAGAGATTCTGGCAACGCATTTCGAGTGACAAGATCCAAGCATCTCAACTCAGGGATCCTAATATGAGTTTCGATTCTGCATCAAACTACCTCCTCCATCTTGCCTTCAACGATAATGACATCGGCATCACCGCAACGCAATGTTCAGCTACCGATTAACAGCTCACACTTTTTGGTAACATTTCGAACCGAGAACGTCGTTACAAGTTTGAACCGTTTTATGCTGTGACTCGATGTTGTTTACTGTCTATAGCCTACTTCTTCATTTGCTTAATACATTGTCTGTTTTTTTTTGTTAAAAATCAATGGTTGATGTGTATTAAGAGCAATGTTGGAATGATACAATATATAGCAATGCTGCAATGTTGGAGTATGCAGCTGACTTGAAATTTGAATGATGTTGTTGTTGATTGTCATTGTGATAGTGATGGAGTATGCAGCTGGAGGTGAAGTCTTTGAGAGGATATGTAATGGTGCAATTTATCAAAAAATTTTGAGGGATCAGGAAAGTAAAATAATGTTCATGTTTTTGAAATTCGTCTTGAATCCTGTGATAAAAGCATTATTGTTTTTTATGATAGTTGTAAGTTGTAACAATTTATGTGATAATTATCTTTTCAGATTTTGCTTCCATTGAAGTTGCGGAGTTACAATTGTGGTTGCGGCATTACGAGCATATCATTTATGCTGAAGGTATTCACTATATGGTGTTATATCTGTTGTAAGAACTTAACTCCAATTTTTTATATTGTACTAAATCATATTAAAATTTTGCTGTTGATTCCATCAGTTTGATTGATAATAATTGGATTCTCTTGTATGATCTGAGCTTGAGATTAACATTATGGCCATCATCTGAGATGCAAGTAACCGGCGTTTGCAAAATTTGTTTTATAACTAACTATGTTTTTGTTTAAACTTGCCAGCTTTGTGATTTATATGAAAATGATTTGATTTTTGATAAGTTTGAGTGTTGTCTGAGCATTGTTGAACTGCAGGTAGCAACTGGTTCTTACAGGTATGTGATACAAACTTAATTCATAGTTCAATTGATAAAGGTAGTGAAATTGAACATGAAGAATTCCTTGCTACTTGGTAAGCCTAGAGCACCATTATGAATATTTTATTGAGTAAAATAATGTTCATGTTTTTGAAATTCGTCTTGAATCCTATGATAAAAGCATTATTGTTTTTTATGATGGTTGTAAGTTGTAACAATTTATGTGAAATAGGATTGTGAATTGGAACAATGATCATCATGGAACAACGACTGATATGAATATGAATATGAATATGAATAGAACAGGTTTCATGGTTAATAATTCGCCCGCGTCGTTTCTAGGCCACGGTTCGGCCTTTTCCGCCCATAGGGGACCCTTCAGTCCAGTTTTTCGCCTTCGCTTCGTCCTTGGAATGATATTCCAATGGCGGATTCGTCTGTCGATCATCATGATCAAAAATCTCAGCAGCCGATTCACAATGGTTCGATCTTCGGTAGCAGGTTTTTGTCTGATGCTTTGACAGGTTTCTGTATTCCTGCTAGAATTCAAGGAGACGATGAGAATCACGGAGTTGGCTCGGAACAGCCTTCGCCGTCTTCTAATTCTCATCATTAAGCAGAAACATGAACTGCATAATGCTGCAATCTTCATTTTCTATCAGGTATTCCACTAAGATTTTGGTGTCAATATTCCTGATATTGCGAAAAATTACTGTAAACTATTGCTAATGAAGGCTAAATCGCAGTCACATTGCGTCGCGAAATACAATTTTTTTAATATAATGTGTCCTAGATTACGATCGGAGACCGATTAAATTTCTATGTTGAATGTTGTTATGCAGGGCATTGTGTACCAGATATGAAAACATGGGAAGATTATGAATATGAAGGACACAGAATTTGTCTGGTTGGATTCAACTTTTTTGCAACTTTATTTATTTTCTGTTATTGCAACCACTGACATTGGTGTTTTTAATGTTTTTGAAGAAACTGAAAGTGTGTTCACTACTTGTTTTTGATATATTTAAGCATTCTGTATTATTTCATGATACTTTGCTCAATTAATATATGGTTTTGAGGTGGATTTTGGTTTGATCTTCATTGTGTAGTTAAAGGGGAGAAAATAATTGTTCATTTGTCAAAATAAATCTATGATACGCCATAACTTCTCTTTTTAAAATTGTAACATTTTTTAATATCCGAGGAAGTGTCAAAATAATTTATAAGAAATAAATAGTTGATAAATAAATAGAGGAATTAATAGAATATTATATAGATATGATTATCACATTTGTGATACTTGGTTGGAGACAAAGGTTTGCATTAGTGAATATGACGTGCAAATTTCTGAAGAGTTAATAGGAGTGAATGTTAGCGAATTGGTTGATGAGAATGGAGAGTGAAGTTGGTAGAAGATACAAAATTGACTTTTCCGTGGATCCCGTGCGGACGCACGGGTCTTCTACTAGTTGATTGATAAAACTCATATTTAGAAGCATTCAAACTATGCAAATTCTACACAGAACTATTAGGTAGAAGCATTTAAAATATGAAAACAGTGATAGAAGCATTCTAACTCAAAATTAGAAGCATTCAAGTATAAAACTCATTTAGGTATGAAGATGAGATTGAAAATTGAAACCATAAAAAAACCAAAGATTTGTCATAGAAGTTGAAGCAACGGAGTTAGGAAGCATACAATATGCATACATGCTATGTCAAACACCAATGAAAAAATTATGAAATGTTGCTTCAAAAAACAACAGGCAACATGTAGGAAAAAGCACATTAATTATGGAAGCCTCATTGACATCAGAACAATCCTAGTTTGACATCAGAACTTGTTGGTAGATATTTCAAGAAATCAATAAGGTTGCCAATGCTAATTAAAAAACACACCTTGTCCAATTCACATATGTGACGGATACTCTTGACTTCATTAGAGTTTATCCAGCTTTTATTGCCAGGTTGCACAAAGGATTCTGAAGTTTGGGTTATGGAGTGAGTTGGTGCAGCAGTTGAAAGTGTGGATTCTAGCTTGGAAAAAATTTGTAGGCACAAAGGTAATGAATCAAATTAAATTAAACCGAGTTATGCCAAAGTATAGATAAAATCCTAATTGTCAAGTATACTCATATACTTGGTATTAAAATCGTGAACTTGGAGATGCTTCAAGTTAATGTGAAGTCTCGATCCTGATGCTGCTTGACAAATTTCAAACTGTTACGATTTGGGAGTTCGATTTTCTTGAGAGAACAGAAGCCATACTTGAAGATTTACGGAACAAGGGGAAGGCCACAAATCCAAACACTTGGACTTTAGTCGCAAGTCGATACTTGCATAAGGGTGAGATAGAGAAAGCATTTGGGTGCTTGAAAATTGTCGTGTCTTTGTATTTGGAAAATAAAAAAATGGAAACCTAACCCTAGGGTGATTGCGGCTCTACATAGTTGGATTGGTGATAATGCTTGTGTTGAAGATGCAGAAGCTATAGTGAGCTTATCGGAAAATGTCCAAAAGAATATACACATGTATCAAGGCATACGTACGAGCTGATAAAGAAGTGGATGGGGTCTTGGACCGCATGAAAAGAGATAACATTAAGGAAACCAAAAAAACCTATAGAAATTATCAACACACGAGGATGGCAGAAAATTTGTAAACATAGTTTCCCATGATATTCTTGGGCAACTTCGTTCAAGTTTCGCAGACTAATTTTAGTCAAATTTATGGCTTTCCGTGATATTAGCTGCACCTTCCATACCTTATAACTCATTTCTCAACCAAACCCAAGTTCTATATTGCAACTCCATTTCTCATAACTCATTTCTCAACCAAACCCAAGTTCTATATTGCAACTCCATTTCTCATAACTCATTTCTCAACCAAACCCAGGTTCTATATTGCAACTCCATTTCTCTCATTGTGGAACCACATTTGTTAATGGTACAGCAAATTTACAAATCCAGAAAAGTAAAGCAGTGGAATAAGTATCAAAGGAAAACCAACTCCCAGCACTACTGCACATGCCAACCTAAGGAATAGTGATTATTTGTGCAGGGGGAGAAGAATCAGGTACTGGACAAGCACTCTTTAATGTTTGGTTCATCTGACCTATGAAGAAGCTAAGGTTGCTTACTTAAATTTGATTGTAGGATCCCATTGATAACAAATGTCTGCCTTATGACAAAAAGTTTTGTTCCCTCAAAGTTGTGATTTTGCCTCGACCACTAATTTCCAGAACAGTAAAGCATCTATAAATGATAGTTTATGTAATTCTTAAATTATATATATCCCATACTTGATCTACAAAGTAATCTTCATTGAAGCTTTCATACAAGATAAGCACAATCATAGACTTTGATAGTATCATGAAGCTTATCATGAAGTGTGTATCCAAATTTCTCACTTTCAATTTTTATTTTCATCTACAAGATAAGCATATCATGAAGCTTTCATTATAAACAAAACAACATTGCAGTATCATAGACTTTGATAGTAATAAAAAGAACACATTATAGAATCTATGATTTTCAATCTGTATTTTTATAGATCATGATTCCCATATCCACACCAGAATCTGAAAACAAGTTTACTTTCTAATTACAACTAGAAAGTTAAAATAAAACCAAACATACAAATTATGGAAAGCACAATCTATCGCAATTCGAAAGCAGCATTGTTTAAGCAGCAAAGACCTTAGCAATCTTCTCAGTAGGAACCAATGGAAGATAAGCAGAAACTCTGTAACCTTTCTCAGCACTTAAAACCACAGCTTCATTATACTTCTCAGTACAATAAGCTGCTTTTGGCAAAACCACGTTAGCCACCTGAGGAAAAAGCGGAAGCTGATTCAACTTCTTCCATGCCGACACAGCGCACTCTTCCGCCTTAGGCTCATACTTCGAGTAAACAGTTTTTGCCAATCCAGAAGCCGATTCAACAACTCCGGCACGGCGGACTTCAGTGACAACAGATCGAGCTTGAGTTGAAACCTTCTTGACGTTAGTAGGAACATGACGATCCAACTCGGAAACGGACTCGTCAACCTTGCGATCAACGTATTTGAGAAGCTCGACGGGAACTTGGTGAAATTTATCGTAGACTGGACCGACGACGGTCTTAACGGCTTCTTCAACGGTGTCGACACCGGTTTTGAGTGGACCGGATCGTTCTTTCGCGTAGGAATAGAGGATCGCGCATCGCATCAAGGCGTGAATCGTTGCGAATTGCACGAATTGAAGATACTTCAGTTGTTGTACATCTTGATTATTGTTAATGTTCTCCTCAGCCTTAAATTAAATCAATTGAAAAAAAAAACTTAGAACCCTAAATTAACATGTATAAAACGACGATAGAGAAGAGAAAAGAGAGATTTACCGGTTGTTGTTGAGGTTGTGATTCGGTTTGAGCTTCTGCGGCCATGATCGGAAAATTGATCGGTGATGATTTATGGTTTCGGTTTCAGGGGAAAATTTGGGGAATGAGAAAATGGTGAGGTTGGATTGGGTTTTATACGAAAGAAAAAATGACGTCGTGGGAATAGGCGCAAATTTAGGGTAAGGGAAAAAACGAAGGGTTGTGCTAAGAAAGCGAAAGAAAAAACAAACGCGTATATTTTCTTACTATGCTAAACAAAGACTTCTATTTTTCTTCTTCGTTAAGTTATTAGAATATCATTCAATACCTTCTTCGTTTTTTTTAATGGAATTTATTTAGACAATTATTTTCGTTTTCTATTAATAACCTCACAATATTTCTTAACAAAAGTTGCTCACTAGCAAAGCAACAATATAATTTAAATTTTGAATTTTCAATAATTTTAAAAATAACTATTTTTAAAATAGAAAACTATATTGAATTGAAATAATGTAAAATATTCAAAATTAGAATTAGAATTTATTATACATCTATAAATACAGGGTCACAAAGAAGAGGTTTGTCGTGTTTAGGTTGCTCTTATTTAAGCTAATTCAATAGCGGGGCAGAACAACTTAGGAATTTGAATTGAAAAATCAAGTTAATCTCCTTTATTAATAATGAGTTGATGGACTATTCCACCAATTTTTTTTCACAATTTGAGTTATTATATAATTTTTAATTATTAAGAGACAGACAAAATATATTTTTTAATAACGCATAATAGAACTTCAACAAATCTTAATAGTCTTAATATCAATATTATATTCTTCAACATAAACAAAACAACATAACTATAACAGAAAAAAAAAACTAAAAAATAACACACTAAAACACTAAAATAATCTACTGGTTCAACCATGTTATGACATTAATATCACAATACCAAAAAACCAACATGCACAATCTAGTTGAGGACATCTCAGAGCACAAATCTGCAAAACAAACTAGCACAAACTAAACAAATACAATCAAAAACTAGCAGCGAAAAATAAATTCCAAAAGTTTCATAACAAACACTTCATCAATCATCATCTATGTCGTAAACATATGAAGCTTCGCAGGACCTGCCCAATAAATCTAAAGGTCTCATTCTAATTTTAAAAATAGACCCAATTTTTTTTTATAAAAAAGTGCAATTAAAATAATTGAAAACGACATAAAAATTATAATTATATATTAATTAAAAGTATATTTAATTATAATTATTTTGACATTTGATCCATTTTATTTTTTTATATATTGAGTTTTTATTATAGTATTTTTTTTTATTGAGTTTTTATTATAATATTTTTTATATCTATTAATATTAATGAAAAAATATATATCTTTCAAAATTTGGAGCCCTCTAATATTTGAGACCTGTGCGGTAGAGTTTGCTGCTCAAGACCTTCTCTAAAACTTCGGTTGATGTCATAGCAATTGGTTAAAATCATCCACTATTCGTCTTCTCATCGTGACTCACTACAAGTGCATAAAATAAAATATAAAATAAAACTCATAATCATATATCTTATCTAGCCAAACAAACCACATAGAAATGAAATAAAACAATTAAAAAACATGATTATATACTTGAACTAGTAACACTGTGAAGCTAATAGCGATTGCAAATCTAAGCCTCCACATTTTTTGATAATAAATGACTTCTATACTTGTTAAGAATGATAAAATCAATGTTAAATGTCAATTCAGATGTAACAGTAGTGATAGGAATTTCTAACAAATCATGATTAATTGAAGATAAATCTTTAAACCAATGCATTTTCTCCTTCCACCATTGAAGAACATACAAGTCATCATAGTTTTGATAAGTAGAATCCAAGTTATGTTCCTCCATATAAATATCAAGTTGAGACTTTTATATTGAAGTTGTAAGTTGTTGATTATGTTCTTTTAATTCCTAATATATTATTCAAAGTTAAAGATTAAGCCTACGTCAAACGATAAGTAGACCAACACAGAACATTAGCAATCAAACTGGAAGAATATAAGTAATTGCTTCACATATTCATGTATCATGCCATCAAAATAAAGAAAATAAATACATTATGATTAAGTTACTTACATTAAACAGGCTGGAAGTCAATTTTAGATAGACGAAGTAGCGGAAAATGGAGTGCTTGTGGAAGTTGTGGTAGATGAATTAAGATTCGAAGAATAATGCTCAAAGAGATTTACAAATTCTTCTTAATTTCTTTTATTTTATGTTTATAAGTAAGTGGATCAACATTTGAATAACAAAATTCTAAAGTAGAAAGTTTTATTCTTGGATCAAGAACCGCTCCTAGAGCAAACACCACACTTTAATCATGTCAGTACTTCTCAGATTTCAACATCAAATTAGTAGCCATTATTTTAATAACATTGACTACTTTCATTCAAAACACATTGAGTTTTCTAAATTTGCAACAAAAAAAAACCGACAACGAGAATGCGCATATTTTTACTCCTTTTTTTTAGTCTTTTTCTAAGAGATAAACCTTAAAATGTCATCATGAAAGCTAAGACTTGAAAATAAAAGGTGATACTTCAAAGAACTCTCTAGCATCAATAAGTTAAGTTTCATCTTGTTGGAACATCAAAAGACAAACCAACTAAAGTGACAACACCATTAATGAATTCAATGCATTCCTTAAATTTTTTCATTCTACCTTCTGAATCCTTCACATACTTGGCATTATCTCTAATATTTTCCAATGCATCTCCAACAACTTTCAATCCCTCGTGCACAATGAAATTTAAAACATGCGCCAAACAACACACATGAATGAACTCTCCATCACATAATAGCAAAATTTGCAAGATAAAATTTCTTTTTAAATAAGCTTGCATTACATCATTAGCTAAAGCATTACTCAATGTAAGAAAAAATATATTATTTTATATTCCTCAATCACTTACAAATTCAAGAATCTTTTTTGACAACTCTAGTCCACAATAAGGGAGAAACATGTGAGAAAAATTGAGAATCCTACTCTTTAAACTCCAATTAGAATCAACATAATGAGTTGTTAAGAAAATATAACCCTATGTAATATAAGTTATCCATAAATCAGAGGTTAATAAAACTCTTGTTGGAATATTAGCCAATAATAATTAGGTAAAAACCCATAACTTCTTAATTAAACCCAAGAAATAATAATTCATTTTTTTAATTAAAAATTATTTCGGACTGACCCAATGGTTAGGCATGACCCAATCCACTTCTGCTCCCAAAATGACCCAATTGCCTAAGTCCAACCAATTTGGGGAAATATTTATCTTTCTGCCTCTCCAACAAGGGAGGTTGACCGGTTTATCGTCAGCCCTTATCCGTCACGCACGGTTTCACCATCCAGACACAGTCAAGACGCTTGTACCCGTAACTGCGTCTCTCCCCGTAGCAACGGCTAGTTATGGACACCTCTGCCCATTCCAACGGCTAGTTTCTGGCAGTTACCTATTCTTCGGAAAACAGTTATCTCGCCCCGAAAATAGGGACCAACGGCCAAGCGTTGTGGGCAGTATAAAAATCCTATCATTTGAGAGGGTCATGTATCCAATATTCACCCTGATACACACATATTTTGTCGCCTTTTTTTCTCCCGATTCTTACTTTAGCATCGGAGTGCCTTGCAGGTACATCCCCTCCCCCTCTCTCACACCCAGCATCACAGATGATTGTCTCTGGCCCACTTCAGGTTCTGATCAGCCGTTAAGATCAGTGGCGTCGTCTGTGGGAAACCTATTATCCCCGTCTTTTCTCCCTTCGTAGATTTGAGACCAAAACAGTTCTTCCAAATTCCAATCATGGCCAGCCGTGACAACACCCGTGATGCTCGTAACTTTGCTTTCCTCTCCGTCAGCAAGACTGATACTGACAGGGCAACCACCTATCTTGGGGGAGACGTCCTCTAACAAAGGGACGGAGCCACCACTTCTCCATCCCCCGTTCGCGCAGATCACAACGAGGTCCCGCTCATCCTAGAGCACCTGCCAATTCCAGTTCCGCCCAGCGTCGACCCAGTCATGGCTGCCCTCGTCGAGGTTCTCAACAAGACCAACCACCTAATCCTCAATCAAAACGTGAGGATGGGAGCTCTAGAAGATTCCAGTCGTCCAAGATCCCCTCCGTCGAGGAAAGAGCGTCAAAGACCACAGAGTCCTCCTCCCCAGCATGAAAGAAACCGTCGAAACCTCCGGAGCTAGAGACCTAGACCGTCAGAAAGCGCGACCATATCTCTCCTCAAAACCAGCATTCCCCGCAACCCAAGAAGACCATAAGAGATCGCCAAGCAGAGTCCCAACGTTCTCCTCCGCCCAGATCCAAGGGTCGGGCACGAACCCCGTCTCCCTGTCTAGATCGCCATCCTACCTACAGACAGGGCACCCGTTCCCTATCATGGTCCAGCAACAGCAGTAACGACGAGCCTCGCAGCTCGTTTTCCCAGAAGATTATGGCTATGTGCCTGTCGAAGGGATTGGAGAAACCCCTTTCTCTGGGCACATACGACGGTACTACGGACCCCGACGAGCACATCAGAAATATAGATGCGCTACTCAATTACCGTGGTGTCTGGGGTGCCATTAAATGTAGGTTGTTCCCGACCACGCTCAGGAAGGGAGCAATGACTTGGTACAAAAGACTCCCTGACGATTCCATCACCTCATGGAGGCAATTGGGGAGAATGTTCTTCAAATATTTCATGGCCTCTTGCCGTCACCCGAAGACTGAAGCTTCCCTTGAGGCCATCATTCAGGGGAAGGATGAACCTCTACAAGCCTACATTGAGTGGTTCAACAAGGAAGTTGTCCAGGTCTCCACGACCGATGCCATGAAGAAATTTCTGCTCGAGCGCAGGCTCCATCCCCACACATATTTTACTAAAGCCATGGACATCCAGCCTCTAACAACATTGGACGCCTTTCTCCTCAAAGCACAAGCGTACATCCAGTATAAAGAGAAGGAGACTTCCAGTTCTGCCCGAGATTCGAGGCATCAGGAGAGTACCCGATCCTCCAAG